TTCTGTGGTCTGCCTTCTTCCGCCGTGGGGGCCAGGCTTGCCTGCCTACTCGCGGCGGAATGCAGTCGTCACTGGCGGGACACGAAAGGGTGCCGTCATGCGAAGGTGTTTGTTCCGGCGTGCTCCGGCGGATTCGCTGCGGAGTTGCTGGGGATGAGCAGGAGCCGGGTTCGCACTATTGCGAATTTCTTCACGGGGCACTGCCCGGTGAAATACCACCTGCACAGGCTGGGGAAGTCGGGCTCCCCCCTGTGCAGATTTTGTGGGGGTGGCGATGAGACCGCCGTGCACATTCTCTGCGACTGTCCGGCACTGGCTGTTCGGCGCCGCAATTGTCTTGGACATGGGTCCCTAAGTGTTCGGGAACTATTGTCCAACTCCCTTAGGGATATCTCCGGCTTTGTGATTGGGACGGGGATATTATAGACGGGAGGGTGGGGTGGCTACAATAAGTCAAAAATGGCTGCGGTGGCTTGGGGGGATGCTCCTGTCCCCACTCAGTTCCCTTAGAATCTACAATCTACAATCTACAAGTATCAACTTCTAAAAAGTATACATATGTTAGGCATAGAAAAATAAATTTTATCTATACTTCCAACCTTTATCGTTAAAAGTTTTCTAATTATTAATTTTTAACCCTTTTTAATTACATATATAACAGTATTTGCTTGTTCATTCAAAAGTTTACTCTTTTATGTCAACTGAATTGACTAGCAGCTTAGTTTAGCTTTATATAGTATTAGAACTATTTTAAAAATGATAATTTTAAGAGTCTTACTAAAGATGTAGAAAAACATACCATTTTTTGTATGTTTTACTAAAGTTTGTTTACTCAAACTTTTAAAGGAAAATGTACAAATCTTTACAAACTGAGGTTTTCATATTTGTAAACATCATGCGTGTACACCCTATATGCACGTTATAACATTTTTGAGGCTAATTTTATATACAAATATATTTCCTCGTTCATTTTGTTTTTGTTATACTTTTGTAATATCTGAATGTTTTAAATCATTTACATCATTTCAGTGTATACGAGTATCAGATTTGAATATTATTAATGGAAAAATCACATATCCAGTATGGTTTGTTTGGTATGTAGAATATTTTCATTTGAATATTTGTTACACATATTTTGAAGGCTGATTTTGGGTTCAATACGATGTATTTGAAAGGTGCGTATTAAATTATTAACAATGAATGGAGGCAAAATATAATATAATTGTATTTTGTATGCTCACACTTGTAAGTATGTGTGCTAATTTCAAATTTTAATTTTTCAGAAAATGAAATTTGCCTCATTATACTTTAAAATGTTTAACATGAATGTTATGTAACTCTTTATATGGTATGTGAGTAAGAATATATAGAAATGTGAAAATAATTTGGAAATCAATGATTTTGAATGGAAAACGAATTAAAAAATTTAGTTTTCTATTTATTTAAATTTTTTTTATGAGGTTGTATATAATAATAAAAAGGAATAGAAATGAGGAATTGTAATTTACTAAAAATTAGCTAAGCGTTTGTTAATTTTTAAAATATTCTTTCACATCACTTAATCGAAAACGCATATACATGCAGTTCTCATTTAACCTAAAAAATTTTGAAAAATTAAATGTAGTATTTAATAGAGCAAATGGGCAAATGAATTTGAATTGAATATATGGTAGAACAAGGAATTCTCATCAACACTTTATTATATTATATAAGAAAAGGATTGAATAGGAAACTGTAAGTGTGTATGTAATAGTTATTCTACAAGAATTTTATTTAAAAAAATTTCCAATTAAAATAAGTAATTTTTTATACATTATTGACGAAAAAAATATGTATAACACTCAAATTGCCTGCTGAAATGATGCTTTATATGTATATCAAGCAATAAAGATATGTTCAATACCTATCGCCTTCAATTGATGTTGTGAATAGCAAAATTTTCAATGAATAAAATTATTCAGTGACGTAGAAACTAAACTTTGTGCTATCATTTTATATAAGCAATCTATTGTCAATTTATATAAGGCGAATCTAAAACCAATTTAGGATCTTGAATAGAACCGAAATTCTCTAACCACAAAATATTTAGGTTAAATTGCAAATATTTTGCAGATTTAAATGTTATATTGTATATAAGAATTATCACATAAAATAAAAAGAAATATTATAATTTAAATGTATATATACCGAAGAGGCACCAAGGAGTTGTAGTAAAACTATATTCCATATACACATTGAGTTTTGAACAAAATAAGGAAATGTCCGCTCTGTATGTTGTCTAGTAAAAACTGATTCTAAATTTACTTAAGAATTTTTTATAATATTGCATTCGTTGACAGAACAAATTGATTTTTTGTGAAAATTGATCTCCAAAAGCTGTTTCTGTAAAAACGACCACTTTTTAAAAATTTTTGATTTCTATTTATTCTAGCAGATTCAGCTTCGTGAAAGTAATTCGGTAAATAAAATTTGAGTAGGTCAAGTATTAACAAAATTAGATCTTTAAATTCTGACTAATACTTTTTCTGTCCTTAAAACAAAATTTTAAAATTTATTTCTCATTCTAGTCCCATAAATCGGAAATAGAACGTTACAATAAGTTTAACTATTAGAAATTTAAAAAAAAAATTTCTTAAAAAATTAACACATACATATTTTATTTAATGAAGGATGGTGTGAGCAACTATATTATAACGTATCTTAGATTTTATATAAAATACATGTTAAATTAATTGGTATTTGAAAAATATTTGATATACATTAGATTTGATATACATTTGATATACAATGTATGTTATATTGTAGATTCTATGATGGATGCCACTGAGAGCTCAATATGGTTATGTCAATTTTTCAACCAGATTTTTTGTTTCAATACAATTTTTTTGTTTTTTGAATTGAAATTGTAATGAAATTATTCTTAATCTCACAATAGCTCCTAGATCACACAATTATTTCTTTATCTAAACTACATGCGTAATGTTACATGATATAAATCCAATATTGTAAGTTGAAAGTTTATGATATTATTATAAATATGTCCTAAAACTATGTCACATTCACCGTTTGAATAATGTTGTATAACTCAAAGATTACAATATTTCATTTATTCAAAATATTTCGTTTTCTAAATTTTAACTTTGCAGTTTAATATTTTGCAAACTAAAAAAGAAATGAAATGTCGTTGGAAGAGAAATTCATAAAATAATAACAGAGAATTTAATCAAGCTGCAAAATTTTCTTAATTATAAGGAAAATACCAAAATTGTCTTGAAGTCTAATAACTCATGAAGAAGATCGAAAAATTAATGTGTCGCTCATTATTGTTCGATCATCTGGGTCGAAATATGAAATAGTAAGTGAAATATTTTCCTTATATTATTATTTTTCACTAAGATTTGAAATTCTCAACCACTAAAAAAAAAACTGATTGACACGAAACCGATTATTTAAATTAAGTTTAATAAAACAAAAATTTTAAGAATTTATCTAACACCATCATTTTTTACAATCCGGTTTTCTAGACTGAAAACCTATTTTATTTTAAGGAGATCATATACATAAATATAAATTTCTATTATATATGAATAAATAACTATAAAATCTCTATATATATATATAAGTATGTTTTAGCAACACTTAAAACTCATAAAAACTAATTTATTCCTTCACTTCTTAAGGACCAAACATAGCAAGTACAAATTGCTATTTTAAACTTATTCGCTATTAAATCATATTCGTGTACACATATACATATACATATTGTATGTGTAAAAATGTAATAGTCTCATATTCATTATTACAACTAGCATAATATGTAATTTTTAATAGAAATATAATAAGTAATGAGAAAATTCATTAAGGGGTATTTAATTTATCCTTTTTGCTAAAAAAGTATAAAACTTCATTTTTATTTTATACTTTTTTTTATTCTTTTGTAGTTTGAGAAGATATAATTAAAGAAATTTATCTCATATTTACTCTTGCATTAAATAGTTAAAGTGATAAAATTATTATAATCATAATTTTTTTTAATTTAGCTTTTAAAAATATTCTTATAAAATTTTTTGCTTCGGCTGTCATGAACAGCAGCTATTCATGTAATGTAGTGCCTTCTATTTTTAAGAATATATTACTTAAACTTATGGATTTGAGGATTGAAAAACCAATAACTCATAATTGAAGTCATAAATCGAATGAAAATTGGAGCTCAAATACATATTATAATTGACTGATTTTAACAAATTCTAGATCTAGTCGAAAATCTAATCTGAATTATCTAGTCTAAAATCTAATCTGATAAACAGCATTTAAATTAGTACTCTTTATTTAATTTTAATTTTTCCATATACTTATGTAGAATTTTGCTAAAAAACACAAATTTATTGGGACATTGCACTAGGAAAGGAATCTTTGTATAACGCACTAAATAAATCCAATTTTCATTATCAAAAGTTTTGCTTTATTTTAAATCCTTTTAAATTTACTTAATTGTCTCATAATATATTATTTTACATAAAATTTATTACTTTTTAATTTATATAATAAACTTACATTGTATGTTATGTGAATCCCTTTTGAATATAATAAATTTAATATGAATATTTTTCTTGTGTCTATATATAGTATACAATATTTTTAATATAATATGAACGCGGTTAAATTTAATATGTATACGTGAATTCAAAATATTTAAAACAAAAAAATTAACAAGTACCTTTAGTGTCATTAAGCGAACAACTATATATCTTTAAAAAATCGCTGTTGAAATGTAAAAGGATTAAGAAATTAGCGTTATGTGTTTTCATTCTTTACTTTTAATTTTATTATATGCCTTCTCTCTAAAAATGAATTTTAAAAATATTTAATGGATTAAATTTTTATTTTTTTTTTATATACAACAGTATACATTACGTAGGTACTCCAATAATCTAAAGAGTTAATATTTTATATATACATATTTCTTATATAAATCGTTACAATTTCCGTGTATGTTCTAGATGGGTAAGTTTTCGAACACAATTCTACAACTTATTCTCAAAGTGAGTCATAGTGCCCCTAGTGGTTTTTCTTTAAATTTATGCAATTGAATTAGCAGGTACCATACTTCCAAGACATATTGTAGCGCTTATTGTATTATAATGAAATATTAATTAGCCATATCCTTAAAATTATTACGTTAAAGAAAAACTCTGGGGTATTGAAACTGTTCTGACCTAAACCTGATTATATTATTTTTTATAAATTTGGTCAAACGAAATATTTTAGATTGCATTTTTATTATATAAATTTTTAAATATAAAGTTGTTTTTTCAATCTGTTGTGTTTAATTTCAATGTGAAATAAACTACTAGTTGAAGGAATTTATGTAAGTATATGTCAAATATCAAAATAAAATATTGAAGGCAGTTAAATATTTTAAGATTCCTTATTATGATTATGATGTCTTAAATATTAGAAAATTTCACAATAAAATATAGAATTTTTTTGTCAATTAGATCTAAAAAAATTTCATAAAATATTATAAGAACTATGCAGTTTATTTCTAATACAGTTTTCATTCATCAACTTGTTATGGGTAACCTGGTTAGTCCGGTTTACTGAGAGAATCCCAGTAACTAGTGGTCGATCGAACCATTCAATATTCTGCGTCATAGTCGGACTATGTGATACATAGATTTTGTTGGTTTTTTGTACGAATATAAAAGAAGGTCCCCCAAAAATATAAATTTCAAAAAACCTTTGAGAACTTGTGGCGATTAGAATAAAATATCATTGTATGTACAAATATTTTTTTTTCACTTTTTATTTAAATTATAACCTTTGCTATATATAAAATAATGTGGTTAATGAAATTTTATATAGAAAAAATAAAAAACAGAAAAAAATAAAAACAAACGAAAAAATTTAGCCATTTGGTCTTAAAAAATTAAAATTATGGTTTAATTTTTGGTTTTTTCCCCTTTTTTATATTTTATGCTGATTTATTACATTTAAAATAATTATATAAATTTTATTTTTTTTAATAACTGAAATAATAAAATGAAAGAGAAATCACGATTAATTCAAATAAATTTAAAAGTTAGTACTTAAGACACAAAATAAAATAAATTGAAAAGGGAAAAGTGCAAAATGGCTTATTTATGTCGCATATATTTATTCCAGCCCATAATAAGTTGAAGGTTGAAATTGAAAATGTATAAAATTTTTTCAAAAATGTGTTTTTCACATATAAGGATCCTTTTGTATACCAAAAGGATACTAATTTTTTTTTTTTATAAAAATCGGTCATTTATTTTTCAAAAGTAATGATCCATAAATATACAATTTTTCATATATATGAACATTTTGTGACGTATACACATATGGTTATTTTATATATATATACATAAGTGTATACAGTATGTATACGCATATTTATACGTAATAAGTGCATATAATCGTAATTCAGGCCAATTTAATATGAAAATAATAAAATTTTTTTCTTGAAAACATACTAACATGCACATGTATACGTATTTATTACTTTTATGTATTCTCATTAGCACACTTTTAAATATATTTAATCATTTACACAGAAAGAGAGAATAAGTGCCGGGTACCCTCACATATCCCTTTTCATTCGCAATAAATGATTGCCTTTATTCTATAATATTATTTTCTACACATACACATACATATATATGTACATGTCCAATGCTTTAAAATAAAATATATACAATAATTCATTATATATAATACAAAATGATATATGTACGTACATATTATGTATATGTGTAATGTATAAATTTTGTATTAGAAGTTTTACGATTAAAAATAATCGACAAAATTCTGCTATAAAACTGAAAATTCACATGAAGAACAAGTAAAAGTGTGTAATATCGTTATACTTATACTCGTATGTACATATGTATGGGAAGTTGAAAATATATTTGAAAAAATTTTTCTTAATAATTTTCTTGGATTTTTACTTTTTTTTTACAAATTATACCAATTACTCAAAACTTTTTGTATATCATATTGTAATATACAATCATAAATTCATTATAAACCCATAAATTCGTTGCCATTTTAGCTCCATATCTTCCTAATGCTACGCTTATTAATACATAATATATTGTGTTCTTACAGGAAATATTTTATACTGTAATTTTAGTAACTAAATAAATGCGGAAATAAAATGCTGAAATTTTGATATTTTGTTTTTGATATTTTGTTTTAATAAATAAATAATTTTGATATTATGCTACAGAAGGAATAACTCTTCAAAACAAAAAATTGAATTTGAAAATTAAAAAATTAAATTTATTCAATGATTTATCATAATGAAAAACGACTTGAATGAAAATTCAATTATATTAACTGGCATACTTAATTCAAATTGGGAAATAAAATTGTATATCCTATAATGTTCTAATTAGAAGATTTAAGTAAGAACTAAGAAGATTTAAGAAGATATATGAAAATTTAAATTTATAAAAATAAAAAGACCTTAAAAAAGAGGTTTTTATTAAATAAACCAACATTTTATATTAAATTTATTTTAAAAAAAATCTGATGTGATCCACACATAACCGACCGCAACGTATATTATCTAGATTACTAAAAGTATTCTATAAAATTATAAAAATGCGTCTTTTTTACAATTTTAAGGACAATAATAAGCTTTTAGTTAACATACCTAGAAAAAAGTAATTTTGGCTCTTAGTAGCGTTTAACGCTTTGTGCTAGCCGAATTACCTGAAATGTCCGCCAGTTATTTTTGTTACAACCAGAGCTTAAGTATTAAATTTCAAGAAATTCCATCAATTCGTTCCGTAGATATGATAAAAAATTATAGATAGGATAATAAAATTGGCCCACAGATCAGTTTCCAAGCCCTGATCTTTCCAAAAAATTTATAGGTTCATTGTTTTAACATCTCGAATTTAAATATTAAATTTCAACGAAAACGGTTGATTATTTCTCTTTATATACACAAAAATGTATATTTGGCCTGTAGTAAACGCCCAGTTGCTGACACCTGATTTCTTCCAAAAGTTACGACATTTCGCGGACGTCGAAATAAATGCCATGGTCGAAATAAACTTACACATAAAATTTCATCAAAATCGGTTAAGCCGAATTTAAGACACACGCATGCACAAACAAACAAACAGACCGACAGACCCACAGCTTGCTAATAGTAGTTTATTTACACTTCTCCACCATGGAGAAGTCGTTCCCACCGGAAACATATGCAAAATTTGTTGCCATTACATCACCTACCTTATTGTATACACACTGCGGTCGGTAAAAACTAATAATTACATTGGAATGTTGAGTTTCTTAATATATAAGATTTGCAATAACTTAATTTTCATCTTTTCAACACATTTGTACACAACTTTGTTCTTATACGTATAATAAAATATCCGACCTCGAATAATAAATTACTTGTTTTTGTTCGCACACGTTGTAAATTACAAAAAAAAACAATGATTATTGAAGCTTATGAACGATAAATATTGCGAACTATATTGTGTTCCATTATTTCAAATGCCCTTATTAGTTTAATATACCCCTACACCACCAACTTTGTTATTTAAAGACATATAAATTTACAAGAAAAATTTGTAAAACTCAAAAATTTATCGTTCAAAAACAATTTAAATTGCAATTTTACATGAATTAATTGTAATCATAGCGCAAAATATAGAAAGATTTACGATAATTCGAATAATTAGTGAAGTGAATTAGTGGCCAATACAATGGTAATATTGAGTTGTAGTGAAGCCAAATGAATATTTTTGGCTAAATTTTCAATTTGATAATATCCAGTAAAATAAGGATTATGAATTAAAGAAATTAGTCAATAATTTTACACTATAGAAATCGCGAGGGTTACCCATTCCAATTTCTTAATGCTTGAAAGTAAAAACAAAATTTTCAACTAGCCTTAATTAGAACAATAGCTTTTAAATTAATGATTTTTAGTTTATGTATACATAATGTATATCATCCAAATTTAATCAACTTAAACTTTAAATCGATATATTAAGAATTTCATTTTACAACTTCAACTTCCTGAACTCAACCGAGCTTATATAACAACACTTATTTTGCATTTTTGAATAATTTTATTAATTTTAATTTTTCATTCTATTTAAATTCTTTCAATTTGATCCAACAAAAGGCAGCATTTGATCATGATTAGTATTAAATTCCAATTAATTGGAAATTTCTAACAAATATCAATGAATTCCAAATTTTTCAAAATTTCGTTACTAAATTCTTATTAAAAGGTGTTAAACCTTTTTCGTTGTTAATCGATCGGCTTGTAGATTTAAGATAAAATTCTATAATTTAACCTTAATAATTGAGCAAAAAGAAATTATTATAATAAAATACTAGGAATTCAAAATTATGTGACCCATTACATGCTCATCGTTATATTGCTTCATCATAATATTTTGCACTATTTGAATTGTATACGTATCTAAAAACAGTTTTGATAACAATATACACACTCCAACTAAATATCAAAGGATGTCTAGACAAGTAAAAATATTTGTTATTATTTTGTTTTTTTATTTTTATATGGTTGAACCTTTTAAAAACAAAATACAAAATCCTGCTGATGTCAGAAGAAAATTTTTGCTTTTGTTTTACTTGATTTTTTTTATTACTTTAATTCATTTGGGAACTGTGAATTTTATATGGTCTTCACTTAAATTATCTGAATACATAATTTAACTAAAATTTTCGTACTAAGTATACAATGAAATTTAGAATTAAGTTTTAAATTTGTTGCGTCCATCAAATATAAAATTGTTTTTGAATTTAAATTTAAATAACAAAATTTTATTACTTTTAATAATAAAATTTCATAATTGGCTCACTGTTTACTTACTTGTATGAGCCAAAATTAATCTAATAATTTATTTTGTCGCAAAAAATACTCTTTCAAATTGAAAATCTAGATGTGAAACTAGTAGAACAATACCGTTTTTTGAACTTATATA